TGAGGTATCAGTCCTAAGTAATTTCACTGGTAAATAACTTCAAAAATGTACTAGAATTTAGAACCACTGCACCATCAAAATATGATTATTTGGGGGTAATTTTCCATGAAATTCTTATTTGCAATGTTCCAGTACATAAATCACAGTAGAAATGTGGCAAGAATTAAATGAATATCAGACCTCTTAAAGATGCTCTTATTTTGAATGCTTTTAGTGTAGATTTGTTTTGGCAGATCTAATAGACTGGATTTAAATATGTTTTTGCTGTTTAAAATCTAGATTTATAATTTACAACGTATGTACAATAATACATTTTTGGATTTTTGTTTGTTTTTCTTTAATGATTTTAAGATACCGAAATCTCACAATGCCAAAGTGGTAAATGGAACATTGAGTGAGCTTAAAAACTTAACAAACTCAAAAAAGATAAACTGATTATTTAGTGATAATGACTTACAGTGCAGTTCAGACTAAATCCTTAAGAAAAAATAACAAAAATATGAAAAACCTGTGCAACAAAAACATAGAAGGAACAACATAATGTCCTTAGTTTATCGAGGAGGGAAAACATATACATTAAAAGCACCACTGACAATGTAAGCAGGAGTCTGAATTAAAAAATTGTGATGCTTTTTTTCAGTTAATTAAAGGGTTTCATTTTTGTCTTATGATTTGAAGTAGAAATGGTATTGTAGTGGAAAGTCCACATTAAGTATTTCAGGTATAAAACTGATGTCCAAATGTGTATGTGTATTTCTTCATTACTGAAGAAGTACTGTATTTTCATTAAACTTCATCTCAAAGGAACTGACTTTACTGGATTCCCCGAGACCAGCAACTTCAATTTGAAAGATATTTAGTCCTGTAGCTGTTACATATAGAACAAAACCCAATTTATCCCTGGCCTTTACCAGTTATGGCCTCCTTATAATCTCTGTCTAGGAGTCTGCTTCATTAGTCTGTTCTCCTCCCCACTGATAGCTGGTGTGTGGTGAGTGTACTGGTGCACTTTAGCTGCTGTCGATTCATCCAGGTGGGGGCTACACAGTAGTGGTGCTGGAGAGGAGTCCCCATGGCCCGTAAAGCTCTTTCAAGTGGAGTGTGCAGAAACATTATATTTTCATTTATATTATATTATCATTACTTACATTGATCGTGTTCATCCACACCTTTAGCTACAGTACTGGTGTCTCGCAGTGCTACAGAGGGTAGTAGCACAACTTAAGTTGTACGGTAGTGTTTATGGAAACTCACAGGTGATCTCCAGTACATACAGTTGCCATTGAAGAGTAGCATGGCTAAGGATGGCATGTCTTTGTAAGTCTGAATTCGGTCCCATTCCTGGAGATCATACTCTTGAACTCCACAAACTTCATCCTAGGGGGATCCTGGCTCCTGGAGGTTTATGGGGCAGTGATTCACGTTGCCAAGTTTGAGGCTGAAAATCTTGAGTAATGAGCTGCATAATCACAAGCCAAATATACAAAAGCTGTTTTGCGTGTGATTGGTTTGGAGCCAGTGAGAACAAACTAAATACATTAACTATGGCAACTTAGACCTCCAAGGTCCTTATTCATAAGATTTTTATGAGGACTTTTGCTCATGCATTGCCAACACTTATGCGTCAAATCTTGACTAACATGCTGAATCTCAAATCAAATCTCTAATCTCTAATCAAATATAAAAAGCTGGTTAGCAAATGCATCAATAGCATTGATTTTGTGCCAGTTAGCTTTGAGTGTAAACTGTAAGGATCTCTTTTCAATGCAGAAAAAGAAGCTTTTGTGGTTAGCACTGTGAGAGGCTGTTTAGACCTAATGAAGTTAAAGAGTGAATAGAACCAAAAGATTTTTAGGTGCACTGACATTACTGTTATATGAAAAGACATTATGTAGGTAAATTTATTGTGCTGATTAACATCAACAGTGTTGATACGGTGATATGTCAACAGAGTCTATGTTGAAAGTCACAGGCTAGTTGGGTGTGTGGCCACCACTGGAAGGGGTACAGGGTATCTGTGAATAAATGCTTTGTACCAGACTGTAGATGCTGTGATGTTGGATTTTGTCCCATTATACTTCTAGAACCCGTTTAAGCATGGTCCTTTGCTGGTTTCTGAGGGCTAGATGTCACAGCCCTTTCCACAAAAAGTCAATAGGGCTCAAATCTGGCAAGTAAGGCATCCACAATATAACTGTCACAATCTCATCTCACGAGAAAGCAATGTTTCACCGGCAGTGTGAGCGTGTACTTTGTCCTTTGTCCATGTGTTGTCATGTTATTATGAGCTAGCAGGAAGGGCAGCTGGTAAAGTCCCAGGTCTCAATAAAGCACAGTGTGGTCAATTAATCATTACAAAGGCAGATCTGTAGTGACTAGACCATCCTGCCCAGATCATCACTATACCTCTATCGATTTGTCTCTTGTTCCCAACAATCAGCATATTGTTCTGCACATCTGTGCCACATTCATTGATGTTCATCAGGGTGGTCTACACACAACCGTAATTCACCCTGAAGAAGAAATTGGTTCCTCTACTTGTGAATCCACCTTGGGTGACATACTCTAGCCTCTAAAGTACTAATGGCAGGAAGACTCTTTTCATTTTGATAAGTGGGGCATATTGGTTCCTTTCCATATTTTTTATATTCACCTCATTCAACAGATTAAATAATTTCATCACCTGTCACATTACCTGATCCATTTTCTGTGATGTGCTTTTGTGCTTATAATTACATCAGAACCTGATCCACCTGATCCAAGGATCTCAACCAGATGTTTCTTGAGAGAAGCCATGGTGTAGTCTCCAACGACATACTGTCGTCTCTTTATTTGTGAAAATTAGCGTGTCTGTCCTTTTAATTTTGCTTCCCCTAGGTTCCAATTGCAGCTTCTGGTTTGTGTTTCACTGTTGATTCTCAAGATTTCCATTTGTTAATGCCTGTGAGGAGCAGGTCCCTTCTCTGTTCAAGGCTAAAGTAGTTCAGGTCTCTTACAGTAGCTGGTCAGTCTGAGACTTTGAGCCATGGGATTGTACACAGTATTGTAAATGTGGTTTTACAAGTTCATTGTACCATTTACCATAACATGTATTGATTTACATTTAAACCTTTTAAAATGGTGTGTATCCTAACGATTGTGTTTGCCATTTTAATTACTTCCCCAGTTGTGTAGAAGATGTAAATGTAAAGATGTGAAAAACCATGAACACCAAACGTTTTGTTCGTACTGTAAATATCTTCATCTAGCTTAACATTTTCAACACTGTTGGAGTATTGGACATACAGGATGAGTTTGTAGCTTCAACTGGGTTTATTAAAAGCGATAAGGACTAGTGAAAGGGACAACAACCTCTCTTTCTACATTATGTGCTGCATTTTGAATTTCATCATTTACTAAAGAAATGTATTTTTTTCTTCACTATCATTTAGAAATGTAATAAATCACAGCAGGTAAATACGTACAGTACCACACCTGATTACTTAAGAAGATTAAATAATTTAAGGATTATACCTCAGCATTTTGTAGTGGGGAATTTTTTAAATTGCTAAATAATATGCATATACTTTATGCAACGATCAGATTTATGATTTTATCTGAAGTGAATACAGATGCAGAGACATTTGTAACTTAACATTCAATCTCTTAAGCTTAGAGTAACACTTTACATATTCTGTGTGTGCACTACATGTCGTGAAAAAAACTGCTTTGGTTTTAGCTGTGGGTTGCAAGCACCTGAATGACTTTATTATGGAATGTACAGTATGGAGGCCATAGGCACTGCCATGCTTAATTTATACAGAGAGTATATTTTGTTTTCTTAGCTTTGAGCTTTGTGGCTTTAACAACGGTGACTTAACCTGTCTGTTGAGGAGCTTTCTGTCCAGTGCATGTTGTCTTTCTGATTCAGGTCAGCTCCTAGGCAGAGGTTACAACAATCTGCCATGGGACACAGTGCAGTGCAGTCTAAAGTGGTGATTACAGCCAGCTTACTGATTCACATTTGGCCAACAGATGGTGTAGCTATTCATAATGCACTCTGCCAGTATAGGATCTTGTACACATCAACTGGAAAATTGCAATAAAAATAAGTAAAATGTCACTGAGCATTATATTATGATAAACATGATAAGTGACTCACAGTGATTTCAGTGCTGAAAGAAAAGTAATCAGGCAAATGCAAATAAATACAAATATTAATGAAAAGGGGAAACCATAAATGTCAGCTAGTCATACCATTTATTGTGTCATTAAGGTTACGTGAAGAGGTTATCAAGAATGTTATACACAGTTAGCATTCATTATAATAATTTGTAAATTTTTCATTTGATAGCATTTTACATATAAATTACATATAAGTGGTTAATAACTTTGTATTAGTTGCACACTAATACTACTGCGAACTTTATGTTCACAGTAGTATTCGAGTGTTTGGAAATGCTATACCTGCTACAGCAATGCAAATTGTTAATTTGTATTTGCTGAAGAATATTTCCATTTGTGATATTTTAATTAATTATAACTAATACGTAACAAGCTACAGTACATTGTGGCCATTCTCTTAATTTGTCCCATATTTAAAAATAAATTAACTTTAATCATGCTAATGTAATACTGTAACGAAACAATTCTAGTTGTGGTTACAAAGGCGAAAGAGATCACACAGGAATATGGGTGGAATATACGCCCGTGCTCCATAACATCCTTTAGTTTGCTGTAATTGTGGTGGTGCAGGAGTCACATTCTCCTGAGGGTGACTCCTCTGAAGTACTCTGTTTCTCTCGTAAGGTCGACATTGGAAGGTGACATGCACTGGCGAAAATTGGCGTCTAAACGTAAAAAGCTCTATGGCACTATAAAATAATAGAAATGCATCAGCATTCCTTTTTCATTTTCAAGAAACCCTTCAAGGGGCCTTCAACCATTACACCAAAAAGCAGCCATATGTTGTATTACAAAAAGAATGAGCTCTGACATGCAATTTCCTTGCTGCTCCACAGGATGGAAGAGACAGTGCGGAATTTGCTGCAGACTCAGGGGTCTCTGGAGCAGACTGCTGTGGACACTGTGGACATTATGAAGGCCTATAAGGTACTAGATTGATGACAACATTGACAGTTGTCTTATCCATCTCCTTAAGGTGATGAATCATCAAGACCATGTTCATACCTTTTTTTCTATAAAAGGTTAAATTTTAAGTCACTTTTTATGCCCTTTCTCAAATCAGTGCCTTTATTTTTGCTGAGGAATGTAATCAAAAACCTGCTTAAAAATTGCTCCCTTCATTAAGCAATTTCGTTATCAAAATAATGCCTGAGAGTTGCATTTTCAATGTCATTATATGCTGATTACAGCTAGAGTTTTATTAGACATTACATACTGTAAGCATTCATTTGGCGACCAGCTTTTAATGTTTCATTACAAGGTAGGGGCAATCCTGGGCACAGTTCCAGACTCTAGTGTGTGTTTGTATGGTCATCCTGCGTGTTCCTCACTCACTTTCCAAAACCCTGCTGGCTAGTGTAACCGATGTCTCTAATTTGTCCCTGTGTCTGCGTATGCGGGTAAGGGCACTTTCTTCTAAATGGATGGATGGATTCTAGGGTATTTAATAACTATATTATTAAATACAGTACAAATTCATTCTTACCTTTGTAAAGTATTCTTCCCTGAATGAATTCCCATTGTATTTTCAATAATAAGAATTCTCCATTTCCCAAATGGATATAAATGATGGAGTCATTTGTAGTTCTATGCCTTTAGTGAGCAGGAAGACAGAGTCCTTGTTGGACCGATCTGTGGTTGTCGCTGAGAGTATGAGGCTCTTTTGCCATTGCTGTCAGGATAACCAATAAGCTGGTGGAGCACTTTAGAACAGCACCCCAAAATGCTACTACAAACTAGGCTACAAACAGATCAATCATAAGAGAGTCAAATAAGAGAGTCCAAATAATTTAAAACAATTAGCCTTCCAGCTACGAAACAGCTGTATTAGTAAGAACAGCACTGAATTGCTCAAAATAGTATAAATTATAAATAGACGAGACAGTTGCCTGTCATATCCTGCGTTTGCCACTAATTGTTTGCTTGCATGTAAGTGTAATTAATAAACCTGCCACACAGATGTAACCTCTAAAGAGTTCTCAATCTTTAATTGATTTGTGGTCATGGAATGCTGGTGATCACAGCACATTTGTAAAATGGAAGACCCTGAGGCTATTCGCTTAATGCATTTCAGTTTTGTGTTTAAAGATATTACAGTTGATTAATCTATCAATCTTCGGTTCAGACTGTCATGAGATGCAAATGGAAGCATCCCTGGGACGTATGAAACAAATTCCGCCGTTGTAATGATTACTGGGGGAGAGTATTATATATGCAAATTGCTCCCAGAATTCCTAATGCATATTTAATTAGAAGAAATATCACTTGCCCAGTTAAAGGGCCTGGTGGATCTGTGCTGGATCTAAAATGTTACCCTGGGAATGTGACTTTCTTTACCGACACTGCATATTCGTGATTGATGGAGGCAGTGATGAAGAAATCTTCAGCGATTTTATCAATATAAATGTGGGAGAGAGTTAGAGGGCCTCATAGCCAGTGATTATTTAAATGATGATTTCAGGGAGAATAATGCCTGGACATTAATCAACTTCAGTGGATTAATAGACACAGGGATTTACTTTCAGTAGCTGCCAACTGCATAAGGGAATTTGTGTAGCATCATCAGCTTTCGCATGTCTGAATCATACAGGTACTGTAACATACTATACATGTTACTCTTGGGAAGTTAACTTTCTCTTATTATAGCAGATATGGATAATAAGGTGTTACACACAATTTCAAAGCACTCTCTGTCTTCAATATTCAGGTTTGATCTTATTGCCATACACAAAGGTCATCTCCACTGATTGTAGATTTTAGAATGTTCACAGCAGAATATTGCTTCTTAATGAATTGCTAACACATTTACTTCTGTTTTGTGTGGACCTACAGGATCTGTAGGACTGCATGATTGAATTAATCAGATACACGATATTTGTCCATATTTCACGCAAAATGTCATCTAAAATGTAATGCATTTGTACTGCATATGGCAATTTTCAATGCATTAAGTAGTGCTATGTATAGTTACACACATCCATCACTGCTGAAGAGAGATATTACACTGTGCAAGTCGTGATCAAACTTGGCAATTAACTCAGCAGAGTCTGGAATAGAAACATTTTCAGAGGTGCATAATGACCTTTAACAACTGAAATGCTTATGAGATGGCCAACATTGCAAATACTTTAGGTTTCTGTCTGAATTACAGGGAGTATTTGTTTGAAACACTTTGGTTTCAAAAGGGGACCTACAGGTAGGTGCCAAAGCTTATGAATATAGCAGTATCATAAGGACTGTAGCCTTAATGACTTCTTAGCTGCAAGCTTCAAACATTGGCCTAACTAATTCAAAACTCAAAAGGTAACTGTTGTTTTATTTCACTTTTTGTCTTATCAAGACCTCATTCATAAAACAGTTAAGGTTAAAAAGCGGAAACTATTATTGAAACATTTAACTGGATTAGTGGTATAATTATATATCACAAGAACAACTCTTTGTACTTTTGTGCTACACTTAAGTCATTATTGGCATTACACATTAAACACAATTGCCTTTGCTAGATAAAGCATGACCTTCTGGATGAAATCTGTGTGAAATTGGTAAACCACAGCTGCAGTTTCCGTGAATGCGACACTGCCTCTTTGCCACTTCTGTTCTGTAAAGTGCTCTAATGTTATACTGATTGATAACAACATGTATACAGATGTTTAGTTTACAAACTAACCGGATGGGTGCAGGTACTGTAGTAGCATAAGAATTTGCAAAAGGTTACAAAAGGACCTACAGGATCTGTAGGAGGAGGCCCTTTATCCCCATCTACAGTAGCTTGTCTGGTTGCTGGTAGCTACAGTAATTGATTTGAGGATCTTATCCAGCTGTTTCTTGAAGCTGAAGAAAGTCAGGGTATCATCTTCAACAAGCATAGCTTTTTCCCTTCAGCCTGTTTGTAAGACACTGTGTCCTGTTCTTGGTTTTAAATGCACTTCAGTGTAGTTTCCATTGTTTCATGTGCAAACCACTTGTTTGTGTTTCTGAAGAAGTCCTTTGCAGAATACTTTAATGTTTAAAGCTATCCTTGTACTCTTCTAGAAATTATTCTCAATAATAGTTAGCTGTTTATTTAGTTTGGATCATTCTTCTAATTGAAAAAAACTCCTAGTGCTCCACCGAAGACTTTGTTAATGGTTTACAAATGAATTATAAGTACAGTGATTCTCAGCCCAGCTCTTGGGGGACAACATAGTCTTTACATTATTCTACCACCCAAGAGCTTAACAGCAGGCAAATTGATTTGAGATTTTTTTTGTATTTTAAAATATTTGAACAGCCCTCATTCAGTTGTGATAGCTGAAATGTGCCCATTTGGATTTAACTAGAAGGGTAAAATTCTCACTACGGGAGCGTTTGGTACATTGTCTTTGCCACCTGGATCTACAGTATTTATTCAACAATTAAGATGTTTTTAGTCAGAAATAAGTGAGCAAATGATATTTGGAATGAAACCCAGTAGGTTAAGGTTCACGGGTCTAACAGATAAAAATAATGTCTCAATATGAACACCTAAATCTTTTCATACAGTACTGTACAGTACTGTCGGTACGTTCTTTAAGCGAATTGTTTCCTAGTTTATAAGCTTAGTCTATGTTTTTTGCTACATGCATACATGTATAATACTCTTCACATTTACAGTACATTAAACATGTCATCAGCTATTTGACCAGCTAATCTTTGTTTACATTTTGTAACATTTCTTTATAGCCTCTGCTATCCTTTTGCTTTGGTGTTGTCTGTCAGCTTGTTTACTTACTACACCATTATATACAACAGTGAAATAAAAGAAATCCTAATACAGACCCTTGTTGTACTCCACTAATTATGTCTCTACATAATTGTTGGACATTCTTTTTGTTAGGTTTTCCTGAAAAATACCACAAGCATATGTACTCACTGGCAATGGCTGTGCTTCTGTCATTGAAATAACATTGGGGGAAAAACAGACACACACATGCTGTACAGATATCTAGAATGGCAAATACAACACCATGTTTCTGTGTTTAAGGTGTTAAGATAACATCATCACCAGAGAAAACACAGTTACCCAGGGAGGTCCCAGTGTTATCAAACAGATGTGGTCTGGCCCTCAGTTTTTAAGTCATCTTCTCAAAGAGCATATAGGCATTTAATTGATTTATCCATTGAGTTACAGTAGGTAAATCTTCCAGATTCCATTTAAATGTCATCCTAATTTTAGCATTCATGCCTTATCTGTTCTCTGCATTCTATTAACCAATTCTCAGCCCAAAGACATGCATCATCTTGAATGCCCACTGCCTACTTTTGTGAGAAACGTAGTGAAAAACCTTCTGAAAATCTAAATATACCTTGCAAAAAAAAATTATCTTTCTATCCATTTTGACGGCTGTTTGTTCAAATAACTGAAACAAATGAAACAAGACATGCCTGTTCTAAATCCATGCTCACTATCCCCTAAAATCACATTGCCATGAATGTGATCCTGTACTTTAACTCCATATTGTAGCATAACCTTATATGTAATAGAAATAAGATGTATTGGTCTATAATTACATGGTTCAGTTTTCTTGCTCTTTTTATGGATAGGTACAGTATTAATAATTTTCAAGTCAGTGCTTGTTTTCCCTATCTTGAGTGGCTATTGAAACAGTTTTGTTAATGACCTACAATATGAATAAATCTTCAGTACTGTTGAGAAAATTCTGTCAGACCATGCAGCCAAATGCAATAAGAAAAAAAGGTTACAGAAATGAAGCAGAGTCCTACAAAACCTATGTTAGGGTTATAAAATATTTTAAATCAAAATGACTTGAGCGATTTTTGTCTGAAGAGCGCCTGCATTTTCTACCACATTACAGAATGATCGATTTGTTGAATGGCAGAAAAGTGGTAGCAGTTTAAAATGAAAATAAACTGATAGTGCCTGTGATCTTAAGTAGTGAAGATGGTTGAAACAGAAAAAAAATTGAAGTACTGCAAAACCTAAAGACCTAAAGGATTGAAATGATCTTTGAGGCTAAGATTGACGTGAAGTGTTTGCATTCTATTGTATCTGGCTGTACAGATTTACCTTGCAGGCATCTGTGAGCTTTAAATTGCTCGGCATTGTGGTTAATAGCTGCCAAAGTGTTGTTTACCATTAATGGAATGCATACGAAATAAATGTAGGTTTCGTTGCTCTTTTTATCATGGCGGCAGTATAATTTTGTGTGTGCTTTAAGATTATATCATTTTTTTCCATCTACATGAATGAACATAATCATTAATTACAAAGGTATTTACAGGGGGGGTTACAAATACAATTTTGTTTTCTTAAGAATCAAATCAGTGCTTGTTATGGAGTAGGGATGCTTTCCTTCTTCGTGCTCTGGAGTTACGGAGGAATGGATGTAAATTTTAAATGCCAGGGTCACTGCTGATAGCCTCCTGTGTAGATTGGAGGTCAAACAATACAAGTAACAAGCAGGGATTCAGGGATGCTTCACTGCTTACTGTACTGTACCTCTGATGGTGTGATACAGTATCAAAGTTATTATCTTCTGCTGTTGCACAGGATAAGCTTTCTGAAGAAGTGAAAAGGCATAAGCAGACCACGGAGGACATGCGCCTGGCCGCTGAGGAAGATTCTCAGAGCGAAGGCAGCAGTGCAGAAGAGGAGAGAGATAAGACAAAGCAGCTCCTGGAACGCCTGCGAGCCCTGGAGGTACCTGCTGTAACAAGGGCTGACCTTTCTACCTGCCGCCCAGCTCATCCGCACAACTGCATTGCTACAGAGCGGCTTATTTAAACCATGGCAGTGCATCACGTTACAATACACTCTTCTCAACCGAGGAGCGAAGGCAATCTTAAAGGGCCTCAAGCTTGTGCTACAGAAAATTCAGTGAAGTCTCAGTCGTTTGTTTGTGAGCTTGCAACAGTTTTAATTATTTTTATGGTAGCATCATATTAAAAGCAATTATGGGGGGATAATAGCCAGCCTTAGGCTTGGGACTTAAGACTCTTTAGCTCTCCAATATCATTTAATTCTGCATCTAAAGCTGTTATGAAATTCACAGTAATTGTACCTATGAAGGAACGAGTAATACTGTAGGTTAATTTCATGCTGAAAAGAGAAGAGCCTTCTTCAGGTGTGTATCCACCTGAACTAATTGTACCTACGGTGTCCACCAGTCAAATACCAGTTAATCAGCAAAGGTTCTCAAAGTTCAAAGGTTTTTCCCTTTTAAAAACATATTGACGCCCTTTGTTTTTATTGGCCCAAGCAGCAGTTGTTTAGTTAAATCCTCTTGTGTCGTCGAGAAAGCCTTTCGGTTAGGTAGAGTCAGGTACAGGACAGTGACTTAGAGGACCAACCCATCAGCATCATGCCTGCCCAACAGCTTGCAGAAAACCCATCCAGCAGCCTGCCAATAATTCTAGAATTAATCTGCATAAATAGCCCTAGACAGTGGAGTGCAGGCAGACATTAACTAAAACACTGACATTAATTGCACACAAGGATAATTAAAGCAAAGTGCTGTTAATTGCATGTTGCTTTAATACTATGCTCCCATTCTAGTGAATTATCTTACAGAGTATAAATTACAGTACAGCTCTGTAGCCTGCAGTTGGTGAAGCACATTATTCAAAAGTTAGATATCTTAATATAGTATCAGTTTTACTTTATGCCATTGTATCATTGATTAATGTTCTCTTTGTATCAGCACATTAAAAATGCAATTTCAATAATAAATCACAACCTACCTTTATATTATGTATGGTAGGTACTGTATGCAATAGCCTACATGAGTTGCTGAAGGATACAGAATAATTTATTTGGAAAAATGTTTCTGATACAAAATAGAATTTGCATGATGCATGATAAATGGGTGTTTTTCCTTTAGTTAGAAATATTTAAGTGCAAAAAGAAATGCTAAAATGCCATTTTTCAGGATGCATTAATGGATATAATTTAATAAAGGAATAGCGTTGTTATCACTAAGAGAAGATCTAAGGATCGTAAGTAGTTTTCAGAATGAAAAAAAGCATACATGTACTATATGTGAGACAGTGTCAGAATGAAAAATATACCCAGTTATAGCCCATGCACGCACAGACCTGATCAGCCTCTGGGCTGTCCTGCCACTGTGGCACTTGTGTACCTCCAGTTTGTACCATAGCTTACTAAGGTTGGACTGTTGAACTCAGTTCTGGAGAAAAGGCTGGCCTTGCATTGTCCTGCACTAAAATCAACACTGCCTGCTTGGCTTGCAGAAGCAAAAAAAAAGTAAGGTTGCAAATCTGCAACAAAGATGTCCTTCTAATAAAAGAGATTCCCCTCATATCATCACTTCTCCATTGCCCCACTTGGTAACTTGGAACAACACAACAATGTCTTATGCATCTGTACCCCAGCAATGTTTTTTTTAACAAACCAGCCACAGCTGGCTATGTACAATATGTACTCTGTAAGAGTTAGTGTGGGGAAAATATTTTATTTTCATTGCGCAATAATTGGATGGAGTATCTGTTCAAATATAGAAATGTACTTTATGCTGTTTTTTTATTTATCGTACTATAATAATACAGGTAGAATGGTTTCAGTGATGAAAATGAGAAATCCGAAAATTTTGAAGAGATCCTCTAGCCCATTAAGCCTCTTTGGTTGCCAGTAGTTAGTTGACCCAATAATCTCATCCACATGTGTCTGAAAGAAGCCAGGCTGCTATCAGCTCCTACAACCCTTTGTGTGAAGAGGTGCTTCCTGTGTTCAATAGCCTGGATCCATCAGTCCTATCCAGTCCATACCTTCATGTACAATGAATTGTCTTCTCTGCATGAGAAAGAAAGGGAAACTTTTTCTAACTATCCTTGTGTCCAACAGTAATCATTAATATCTGACACAAAAATTGTTCAAATCCTGAGATAAAATGTACGAAATTGTAAACACAAATGAAGATGAACATTACAACACCAGAAATTCTGTAAATGAGAAGAGCTGTTCAGCCCATCTAGCCTGCTGGGTAGTTAGCTGCAAATTGATCAGAGGATTTCATCCAGCTGTTTCTTGAAAAAAGCCGCTGGGTATCTGCTTCACTGATACCCCTCCAAAATGTTGAGCGTTTATTTAGTACTCTGTACATCCTGTAGATATCACATCAAAGATGCTGTATTTTTAGTAAACTCCATACAGTGTTTCAGAGCAGATAGACAATACTGAATTTGTAATGCTTTGTATGTGCTTGAACATGGGGATATAATTTCCTTCCAGGCTTGCCAGCATCCAGTTCCAGCATTTAAATGTCATGTTTTAATCAGGTTCCAGACACACGCAATATGGACCGGAGAAGGATTTGGCTCCCACCCTAATACTATAGTAGACTCTTGGCCCTCTCCATAAAGCTATTATTAATAGTGGCCCAGTTGGCAGCTCTTCCCCAGGAAAGAGCTGTGTTCAGTAATCATGAGAAGACAGCTGGCACCTCTCCCTAGCTAAAGGTGGTTTCCCTCTGATCAGAGCAGAGCCAGAGAGGAAACGCTCCCTGAAGTGAAGCCAGTTTCTGCACTTTTGCTGACATGCATCTGCCCTGTGCAGTGATAAAAGTCCTTCTTGCCTGTGTATAATCTCCTTTGCTAGCATGAAAGTAAAGTAAAGACATAACTACAAAAACAGCTCTTAAGTAAGAGTCATTTCATATCAAAGGATAGCTAATTACTGTATTCACTGCTGATGTTAAGATCAATCCAAACAGTGTCCCTTTCAAGTTTCTAACAGCTCTACTGTTCTGGCCTTCTTGTGAAAGAGGCATTACTGAGGAACTTTAATGAAAATGTCATACATTCCACACAAGGTGGTACGTAGAATGCCTTTACAGAACTTTACAGTTGTCAAAAGAGGTATTCTTAAACCGGACTGCAATGCAAGATGATATCTGAGGCTTTAAAGAGTAATATTTAGAAATTTCTGTGTACCAGCCAAATTATTATACCTTTTAAATTTTATATTCTTGCCAATTTGGGGGATATTTCATTTGCATTATTATGTAATGATACTGGGTGGCGTGGTGGCACAGTGGTGAGGATGGCTGTCTCTCAGACCTAGGGACTGGGTTGCTATCGGTGTGGTGTTTGTACTGTACGTTCTCCCATGTTCGCGTGCATTTCCCTCTGGAGGCTCCAGTTACCTCTGGCCCTGGTGCGACTGTGTGTCTGCGTTTGCGTCTGTGTGTGCCCTGCAGTGTACTGAACTTGGACTTGAACTTGAACTTGAACTTTATTGCCATATGTAACTGGTACTGGTACAATGGAATTCTTACTTACAGAAAGTCTCTCGATTGAAATCATAAAGAGGTAGATGGTGATGGTGTAGGTGTGGTCCGAGGGGGATGGCTAAATGTGTTCGCCAGTCCCACTGCTTGTGGATAGAAGCTGTTTCGGGGTGTATCCTGCCAGGATAGGCTCTGGATCCCCCACGACCCTGAACTGGATGAAGCTGTTATAAGAGGGATGGGTATAGTGATGTTATTGTTCATATTAAAAATGTTTAAATTCTGTTTTGTGTCCTATGCTAGAACAGGAAGTTGCAGTGGACTCTCCAGTCTGCTAGATGGATGAGAAAACTCGGTCAGATATGATTTTTCCAGATTGATCACAGCTGCAGCTGCCAGCCCCATATCAAATCAGCCTACAATACCTGAAAGATATTAGAAAAGGCTAAAATTGCAGGCAGCTGGCAACATTTAGATATACCCTCCCAATATTGTCGTATTCTCTTGTAAGATGAATTTCTCTTTCAAAAGAAAAGATGTGAACAGCATGTACTGAAAAGGTTTGGCTGAAAGACTAGCAAAAGCCACCTTCTTTGTTGAAGGGAGTTAAATCCTCCATTCCTACAAGTGTCTGCTGTTTTTAAACAAATTACAAGTGCGCTTGTCTCTAAGGATCTTCCTTTGACTTCTGAAGTTGTTTTTAAAACTTAGATAAAGCTGTAGGTGGTTGCATGCGGAAAAGAACATTAGGCTAAAGGTTGTATTCACTAAATTAGCTGTCCTACATAAATCTATAGATGTTTCTTTTATTTGGCTGAAGAAAGCAAAAGTGTTTAGTATTTAACTATGATGTAACATATTAAGGGATGCCAATTCAGTTACTAAAAAAATACTTGTACAATTCTTTGATTTCTTTGTTACTAACACATAATTTCTTATCATGTTAATTAATTAATATTGATTGATTATTGCCTTGTAGTTATTCAAATACATGACATTTACAGCAGATATGCCGAAAATGCATTGTGATGTGAACTGGATGTCTTAGATTTTTTCCTCCTTTTTACATATTTTTATACGAATAAACCAAGCCCTTTGTGTATTCTCGTTAGAAATGGTTTTAAAGGTGTATCAATAAACAGAAGACCCAAGGGGGTGCAGATTTTTCCTTTTCTCTTATTTACATTAGGGACAGTGCGCTAGATTATTGAAGAACTATATTATTAAAGATGCGGTCTGGAAGCTTGAATGACTTAGTGTGTTTACGATTCTCATTCCCTCTGCTTATGAGCATCAACAGAGTGTAAAGGTGGATTTATAGAGCGAAGCTGAAGTCACTCACATTTGAATTCACTGTTTTCTCAATCTAATTATGGAGAAGTCATTGTACTAAAGGGTGCAGGGTCTGGCCATGCATAACTTCATTTAGAAAGAAATCGAAACGGTGCACGACAAC